GCACCATGACATATATCCAAAATTCAATCAATTCCTTGATATAGGCGGTATCGGCAGTGCTCTCCAGGATGCAATATCACTGTTAATAATACATTCCCGGAAATGGATTTCAATATCCGGAAATGTATGTCGTGTAAAGCGCCTTTAGTCACTTCGTGCGCGGAAACATTTAGGTGATGAAAAGCTATCGCTGATTAAGGCCCGTGTCAGCGTCAGTGCTCTCCTATTGTGAAGATTTGTTTTCCTTTTAAATTGTAGGAAATTTCAGGCTGATAAAACATAATATAGCTCAAAACCAAGCACAACTTGATGCAAATTGATGTTTGTGACATAACGTCAAAATAGAGCGCTGACACGGAGCAGTAGAAAACTATGACAATCAAGGAGGCCATAAAGGCGCCCTACAATTGTAGGGACGACTGACGATACGGGCCTAAATTAGATTCTGCCTCCTACTGTGATGGGGATAATTTAAAATCTGAAGGAAACTCGAACACATACGTCAAACCTTTTAAACGAGGTATTGTGTTGTTTTTCAACACCCGACCATAATGACCACTAGGCCCAATTTTAATGTCCGGGGATTAGAATTCGAACCGCGGATCAAAATTGACCAGCTAGAAGGCATTTTCGAAGTAATGACTCTAGTCAATATAGTTAGGCAGGCTCTATGTCGTTGGAAATGGCCGCATCTACACTGAAAAAAAGCATATTGAGGCTTTAAGATACTAGTTTTCAGGTTTTTACACGAAAAATTTAGTAGTAACAATTTTCATACAATTCTGTTAGAAACCAAAAATTTTTTGCAAAACTGGCCTTTTTCTTTCTAGTAGATCCTTGAAAAAAAAGTTTTCTGTTAGGCCATCATATGGGCCAAAAGCTCGTTTGTTCAGCATCAATATGTTGTTTTAAAATCTTGATACGATCATTTGGCGCAAAGATATCTGATTTTGAATGAAAAATGATCTCTTAGTCATCGATCACTGATATCTCGGTTACCAGTAATCGCACAGAGAACCTAAGGATATTCCAGACAACTGGAATAAACTTTCTATAAGGTTTGATTATATCGCTGAGGAATTAGTTTTGTTTCCTTAGTGTTGATTTTAAAACGGTCAAAAAATCACTATTTGCATACTATTGGAAAATCGACCGCATTTTTTCGAACTGTCAATGAGAAGGCTACCGTTTTAAGCTTTTCTAAACCTCAATGTACTCCTAATAATCCGCACGTTGGCAGGTCGATCCATCGTACTGTTTCTCCGTCAAAGTTTGAAAATGATACAGATTCAGTGTCGGATCTTACTGATTTCGGTCGGATGTGCCTTTGGTCATTACTTTTGTGTTTTGAAATATTCTTTGAATACATACAAGAATAACATTACTCCAATTGTTTTTTTTAACAATAGTAACAACAAATGAAGGAAGTGATTTTTCCATTTTCAACTAGAATATAGGATGTTTTGGTGCAAAAATTGGTAGAAAAACATAAGCTTTCTCATTAGTGGTCAAATGTGGTCCATTTTCCAAAATAAGGCAAAAAGCAACCTTTTAGGACTCTTATTAATAAAACAACAAAAAAAAAACACACAAAAAATGGTGCTATTGATTCAAGAGTATGAGTTTCTATGAAATTATGATATTGATTCAAATACTTCAAATGAGGTAATTTCGCTGTTTTAAACAAACGTAGCACTTGAGAAATTGACCTTAATTTAAAGATATATGTCTTAGAAACATATCGAAGTCACCGTTCCTCAATTGAAGATAGTTGTTCTTGGACCAAGACCACTCTTTTATGTGTGAATCATCAAAGATTGCAATAAAATCTTATAAGACACTTATTCTAGTTTTTGGGAATACTCTTAGATCATCTATGCGATTACTGGTTATCGACATATCAGTGGTCCATGGCAAAATGTTCCTTTTTCATTCAGATAGAGAGATATTAAAATATACAATGGCCTGACAGAAAACATTTCTTTGGGCCCGTAGACTGAAAAGAAGAAGGACAAAATTTTACAAAATATTGTTCTTGCGCTATCTGTTAGAATCACATGAGTACCGTTCCTCCTAAAATTTTTCGCTTAAGAAACCCAAAAACTAAAATCTCAAAGCTTCACAATGTTTTTTCAGAGTCTAGATAAGACCATTTTTCATCAAAATACAACTTGTTAAAGATCATCCAAAAATTTAGATGTTTTTCTTGGTCCCTTACTTTTGTTCGGTAGTGTATCACTCGAACTAGCGAAAAAAATTTACTGTTTGTGTAAGAAACGCCTCAAATCCCCATATTAGGTCTAGAAATTCTTTACAGGTCATGCGGTTATAAGGATTTCTTTTTGTTAACAGATTGCCGTCTAATGCTGAAGTTTGTAGGAGCTGCTGTTTTCCTGTACGTTTAGCTAGCACACCGTCTGTGTCTGAGCGATAATTAGGGAAATGTAAATATTGGTAGCATCTCTATTTATAGTAAAGTAAAGTAAAATAGTATAGATGTAATATATGTATGTTTCCTTGAGAAAATGTTTTTTCCATATTTGAAATTAGATCAGCTCGTCATCCAGTCCAGTGCTGCCACATCAAATTGCACTCGTTATGTTGAAATGTCGGTGGATTAAAAAAAAAAGTTAGATTGTTGATATTGCACTCTATTTGAGTTCCTCTAGTTGAAGTGATAATAATTTATTATTAGGATCAACTACGACTGGCTGAAATTATCATGATCAAATCAAAAAGACAGGTTCTGGTAGCGGAACCAGGTAATTTATGAATAATCGCTTGATTTGATATGATTAGAGACCCACAAATCATATAGTTTTTCGCTAGTATGTTAGAAGAAAAATGGACGATTTTCATTAGATTCAATACTTCAAAAAGACCATCTAATGGGTCAGTTTTCATCCACCGGTCAATGGATTTGTGGATCAATTGTTCTGCGGATCAATAGTAAAGTCGGACCTTAGCAATGTAAGAAACACAACCCTCAACAGGAGGTATTAAAGACCAAGCAGCAAGAGAAAACAGGAGAATAGAGTTAAGAAGACCTAAAGCTCAACTACTGAACATGTGGTAAAGTGGACAACGGTCAAATTTAGATGAAAAAAAGGAAAATCTAAAACCAGTTTCTTATAATAGGTACCAGTTAAGAATCTACGCCCGAGTCAGCGGGTCACACGCGATTAATTACTTGGAACTAACCATGGAGTGACCGCGCATAAAGCTATGAGGAAAATGGAGACGTGGGTTGCAAGACAACACTCTCAGAAATGGAGAAGTATCTCCAGACATCTCCGCCAGGCACGAGAACTCATTGAAGGGCCCAGTGCTAAGGATGGACGCTTCTGCCTATATCTGGATAGAGCCAACCTAAGGTTGCTATTGGGACTGTTGTCTGGCCATAACGCGTTAAGGCGTCACCTGCACGTGATGGGGGTGGCTGAGGATCCCTAGTGTGAACACTGCGGGGTAGAGGAACAGACCTCGGCGCACGTTTTGTGTCGCTGTGAAGCTCTGAGCTACTATAGGCAGACTATACTCTGGTCCATTACTTTGGACCCTCAGGACGTCAAGAAGCTTTGACTCAAGGCGATTCTCAACTTCGCTAAAAGGGCGAGGCTTGTGATGTAAGGATTGTAGAGGTGCATAAGGGCCCGCTTAAGCGGCCTATGCACTGGCCCCTTATGGTGGGCGGAATGCCTCTAATTTCAAGATTCATGCATTCATTCAACCGGGGAGCTCCTAGCGTAACATCTAAAACTCATCCTGTGGTTGTGTATCATTAATCAATCTCTCTCTCTTGGCTGCCAAACGGAATCACAGAAGTATAAGTTTAGTGATTTTTCGATGATATGTTTACAACTACAAATGTACAAAAACAAAAAACCTTTTTTTATACATTTGTAGTTGGTGGAAACAGGAAGCCTTTGAGGTAAAACTTATGTTGGCGTCATGTTTTGAGAGGTCAGATACCGCTTCACTTCACTATCCTTTTCATGAAAGGCTCTCCGATAAAATATTATATGTTTCATTTCATTTCCGAGTATACGTTTTCCATGAAACAACCTAATGAGATTGTGTCAGTATCTATCAACTCACCTATGGAATGGGATGCCACAACCAATAGGTAATTAGTTTCAATCAGGCTTGGCGCAAGCGAAGGTAATGATTAAATGGATATTTCATCTGACACTCGCCATAGGCGCAAGTTTGGTAAATAATGGAAGAACATACGTTTTATTGGCACAATACCAGTTAGCGAAAATGCAGGGTGACTTTGAAGTTGAGTCATTAATTTTCAGATAATGATTGTAGAAGGAAGATAAACCAAAATATGTGTGTAAAAATAAAAAAAAATTAAAAAAAAATTTTTACCTTGTTTTATAAAGTATCCTCCCGACAAGTATTTCAGTGCGGACCTGTATTTGATCGTGAGGTCTTGGAGCACCGGCATGCAGTCCCTTGTGTGGTCTTAAGTCACCTGATTCACGAGCCCGTTGTACTACATTAACAAAGGCACGAGGGGTTGGTTGCACTCGATTGGGAAACCGATCCGCATAAACATGTGCCATTATTTATTTCGTTTGAGCCACGCAACAGACACTACTATTCACTGACACTGACTGTATACAAATGAATAAAATAATTGTAAAAACATCGTTCCAAATTCTTTCGCTTTTTTGTTTCCGATGCGATGAACCGATGCGGCGGATTATATCCGTTGTCGCCAAACACGAGCACATAATATTATTATTGAGACAGGGCGGTACTCAAACTTCCAAAGGGCTATAACTTTATTACTTTAATTTTACCAGAAAAATGGTAAAGGAAAAAACATTTCTTTTGATCAGATCTACTCACTGTTAAAATAAATGACTCAACTTCGAAGTCACTTTAATTTTACCAGAAAAATGGTAAAAGAAAAAACATTTCTTTTGATCAGATCTACTCACTGTTAAAATAAATGACTCAACTTCGAAGTATACTAAAAAGTAATTTCATACGTTGCACATGAATAATCGGCGTTCTTCTTTTTTGGTTCCTCTTTTTTCTTCTACCGCCGATATCAATTCTTCTCCTTTAGTTAGTAGTCTGTCGCTGTGTGATGCTCCTTACAGAGGTTAGAGAAAACATGGAAAAAAGATAAAAAAAAAGTAGGAGTCTTTGTTTCAATCAGCAGTTCCAACAATTCATGCAATACGGTTTTTGAACAAAAAAATAGACACAAATGTAGAGACCACGTTGATGCAAAAAGCACCGTAAACACAGCTGCAAAAACAGAAACTACAAATCTGAAAAGAAATCTACTAAATTTGATGATTATGATTGTTCGTCTACGCAGTCGAAAAACGATTTCAGTAGGAACTAAAGCTAAAAAGTTACAGTGGGCGGAATTTTCAACGAACATGGGTTAACAAAAAAAAGGCAAGGAACGGGAGTGGAAGGTGTTAAAAAAGGTGGATTTTTCAAAATAATGATCTACAAACTGAATGGTTACCCCATATAAAAACAAATTATTTCAAGCTGAAAATCGATAATTAGCTGCTAGAACAGTTTTCATACCGAACAGTTGGCCCAGGGGCTGTCTGTTTAAACCCTACCGCTTTTTTTGAGCGAACTGATGTCGGTTACTATATAGGAAGCTATATCACGAATCTCACCCGGATCTGATATTTGGGTGAATTGTGTGGGTAGTTTATAAATTTGATATCAGTTTTTCGCTACTATCGTCCTTAAAACTTTTATTTTTACGAGTTTAAATAGGGCCTCCCGCACGGGTATCATCAAAAAACCTATAAGATGTCAACTTGCAGACTAGGTAGTTTTTAGGGCGCAAACAGTCATTCCACGTTTGCTCACTAGGATCGTTGTGAACGTCCATCTATGGAGGAATCACTCAACTAAGCTACGCATTATTGGTTGCATAGTTTTGTGTTGCTGAGTGATCCGGGTCTGTAGTTTTTATCTCTGAGAAGAAAGTTGGTTGAATAGCAAGATCGCATCTGAATGATTATGTGTATTGGTCCGCATGTGTATAAAATCAGTGATATTTGCTCTGTGAGAAAATCATTACTGAATATGCCGAATATGACGGGTTGTGCTTTTTGAAGAGAGGTTATGTTCAAAGTTATAAATTACGAAAAACTGAGGAGAATTACGGGAAATCATCACCGCGCACGCGTTGTGTGTAATTACTGTTAGCATGTATATAGCTTGTTATTCGACAGTGTACAGTGAATTTAATTATTTCTTATCTCTATCATTTTTTAAATTGAGCAAATTTGTATATGTAATTTCCAGAATGGATAAGAAAAAGTGGATGCGCAACTAATTTCTAGCTTCAAATCTCAGTTAAGTGTATTTGAGACAAGAACCCAATGTAATTATCATCAACACATACAACTTAGAGTTTAGGCCTCTAGTAATGCCATCTCAGAAGCAGACTCTACATCACATCAAAGCCAAAGATTGATAACAAGCCTCATGACGTTTAGACCACACGTACAACCAAGTGCTAAGCTAACATTTTGTAGAATAACCTACATAATGTCAAAAACACCAGCATAACGTCAAAAAAAAAATCGGCATAATGTCACTTTTCAAGATACGTGATACCCGTACAGAAGCTTTAGCATTTTGTAAGGCATACCGAGTTATGTTAGGTCGTTAACTACAGCTTTTAGAAATGGAAATTTTACATCAGAGAAAAATCAATGTTTGAAGAAAACCCAGACCGGTTTTTTTTTTGCCCATTATATACGTGAAAAGTTTCGGTTATGACAGCTTATTATATCCATAATAAGTTCAACTAACTTTATTTGTATCTACAGTAAACTGATAAAGAAATAAGGTAGCATGTATCAAAAAAAGCTTTAAACAGGAATATTGAATTTTAGCCATCTTGGGCGCTTTTTGTCTTTTGTTTTGAAAAATACTTTCATGTTGGTTGGCTGCCTATGTGGATTACCTTAAAGTATTTAGTATTTAAATACCAGTTTTAATCCGGCTCTCTCAGAAAATGTATATTGTTTTTCGCGATGAATCCAAAATATTCTGTTTCTGGAGCTGCAGTTTGAACAGTTTCATATATTTTGACACATGAGGTGTCCTTGGATTCATATTAGCAGATCGAGGATCACTGGTTGTAATAAGATTTAAAAAAAAAGCTCATCTTAATAAAAAAAATCCTACCCAACGGGCTACAGATCAGACGGCTTGTTACTTCTATCGCACTCCTTTTTTTTTGAAAATATATATGTCAATATGTAGATACTTGTAGTGTCTATTAGAATATGTAGATACTCGATACGAATCACTTGTAACGAATTTGCTGGATTTAAATATGTCCAGATCCATTCAGTATGATTTCTTATCCTTCGTTACTCAGGACAAAACTGTGCGCGCCCATGCCTTTGACACCTGCATGGGGCTACATGCTACTAATTCATTCTACTTTGCATCGGCTTCTGCCGATCAATATCTCTAACTCTGACACATCTCCCGCACCCCAATTCACAGATTATAGATGCTTAGTTTACTGCCTGCCTGATTTCGCCATCGTCTGCCATGACGATGCAAAGGAAATTGAGAGCACGTCAAGCAGCTTAGAATATATTATAAAGATGTATAAGATCGACAGAGGTATTACGTATCTTGAAAAATCACATTAATTTTTTGAAATTATATAAGTTTCTATACGAAATGTCAACCTAGCACTAGCTGTTGTACAGTTGTTGTGTACTTGTTTGGCTCTGATGTGACATAACATACCATATGCTTCACAGATTATTGGAGGTCTACGCTGTAAGTTGGAAAGAAATGGCAGTGCAAAGGTGCATAGTGAGGATTTGTGTGCTAGTAATTTGTGTTGATGATAATGACTTTGGATTCTTGTCTCAAATACTCTTACAGATGCGCATAATCTGAATTCGAATACATACCTCATGTTTAGCCGACAAAGAGGCATAAGAAAGAAAGGTTCCCATTTTACAGACCCTTCTTTTTGTTGTATAATTTTTGATCTGGCTTCCATCACTTTTTCTAAAATTTTATAAAGCAAAGGAAACAGTATATATTCGTGTAAACCAAATAAATGTGCTTAAAATAAATGCAACCCAGAAACGTCTCATTTACCTAGAAGGACGACATGCGGATTAGGTATAGCAGCAAAAATATGTAGTAAGGGAAGATAATTAACATGTTGACTGCGTTGCAAAGAAATGGCACTATTTCTTCAATGCGATATAAGTCGCCCAGGACCGATAGCATGCTATTATTCTGACACGGTATCGGTCTTCGGAGTCCGATAGGCAAGTCTTTACCTAAAGCCCTCTAACATTTTGTGTTCAAACCAGAAACAGAAAACTATTTCAGAAATCTGTAAATATATTCTAGGTGAACGTAAGTCTGGCTCCGTATAGGTCGCTGACGACATATACCGCATCAATGGCTAGATTTATTTTAAGCATAAAAAGAACACTATTGAATATTCATTTTATTTTAAATTTTGATGTTCTGCTACTAAGACCATACAACATAATTCAAAGATATGAGCCAAGAAAAGGTTTCCAGTATGTGTGTAATTTATTATTAAGCAAGGAAGACACATGCCAGGTTTTCCAGGACAATCTTCACAAAAACTCGTTGCTTTGGTGACTTTTTTATTGGCTTCACGGCTTGATAGTGCTGTCCAAAGATTTTGGTAGCATCCTTTACAAATATTTCTTTTTTTTCTTCCTGGGCCAGTTGGCTTTCTGAAAGTGTGTATCCTTTTACGCGTTGTTGGTTCAGAAACAACTGTAGGAGGATCTCTTAACTGTTCTGCTAAAGTTTTTCTAAATTCGGTTATCGACATTTTCTACTTTGAAATGCGGTTGAAAATAATCCAGGCATTTACGACACATGTTCCAAATAGTAATTCATTCAAAACTTTCCTGTACCATTTCAGGCCTCGACATAGAACAGAGTGATATGAAGACATCTGGTCACTATAATCAACTCCTTTCTTAGCTTTGTTATAATCTGTAGCTTTAGAATGTCTTCACCCTTTCTTGATTTTTTTCCAGTTTCTTGGACAGTGCTGATATGAGTAGGATCTGTAGTCAGCATAAAAACTGGCCGTTTATCAACCCATTTTATAATTTTAACGCATCCATTTTGTTGACCATACCTTTTTCAACTTTTTTGGGAAAGATTTTGGGATTCCTTTCCTATTTGCACGTAGTGTTCCGCAGTAGACAATTTTTCCATCAAATAGTTTTTTAGCTAAAGGCAAGCTGCTATAAAAATTATCTGCAAAAAGATAATATCCTTCTTTAGCTTTTATGGATTTTAGCAGTTCTAAAACTATCGTTTCTGAATGCTGTTGGCCTTCAACCTTTTCATTTTTTCCTGTATATATAATAACTTGGATTATGTATCCATCAACAGCACATAATTTATATAGTTTGACACCATACTTGTGCGTTTTATTGGGAATATACTGGCGAAATTTTAATCGACCTCTGGAAGGAACCATTGACTTGTCGATAACCAGAATTCTGCCAGGAGTTAGAACATTTTGAAAGTTCCTGTTAAGTACTCCTAATACTGTTCTGATTTTGTACAACCGGTCGTTATTATACAAAAATGGGTCTTCGTTGTTACAAAAATGTAAACATCGAAGTAAAAGGAGAAATCTATCACGTGATATTGTCTTTGCTATAAACTCATTTCTGAACATAGGATCTTTTGACCAGTAGGAATTAACTGACGGAAGCGAGTTAAGACCCATTACTAGAATAACTGAGAAAAAACACATGAGCTCGTTTAGATCTGTGTCCACCCAAACATGTAACTTGGACTTCAAATTACTACGTGCTGCTAAGCTTTGTTGAACGAACCTGTTCGTCTCTTCAACAATGATGTGCCAAAGTTCATCTGTCACAAAAAGTTTGTAGGCCTCCAGTGGACTCACGTCAAAATTAAGTTCAGGCGACTCATTACAGATGTTGAAAGTATTAGTATCCAGCACAAAAGACGGCATATTTCCATTTTCATTATCTATGGTGTGATAAGCTCCACTATCATTAGCTGTATCTGAATCGGAATCATCGGCCTCGGCGGCACTACCTAGATGAAAAATAAAAGACAGGAAATTTTAACATAAACAGGCATTTTGTTAGAAATATATACCTCTGATTGTATCATCAAACAGATTATGTGGATTTTCGTCAGAATTTGATGAAGATGGATAATAGTCTTTATCTATGATAACTTGTTCCAGGATTATTTGTTTGTTCTCCGTCGTCTGATGACCCTGCTTCAACTATTTTAATTTTATTTTCAGGTATATTTTCTTGTGTACCAGGATTTGTGGGCATTGATCCAGTATTTTGTTGATCGTCAGTTATTTTCATAATTTTTTTAACGCGAGAAGAAAACATTTTTGGTGAGTGAACCCAAATACACAACTTCATTCGCTCGCATTCGGTACACAAATGACGGCGAAACAGGATCAGACACGTTTGCTCGTATGACTATACATAGGTCTCCGGAGACCTATAATGCTCTCCACTAATTATTTTGATATGTCTGTGCGGTGTAGGTCTCCGGAGATCGATATAGTTTTTATACAATTTTCCGTCTCTACAAGTTCTCACGATCTTATACCTACATGTCTTGCATTTATAACTTGTATATTAACGCGGCTCCGACGCAGTGAGTTTCAGGCCATTTACAAGGGTTTAGCTGCTTCGGAATTGACGCTCCATTTTTCTATATATTTGAATAAAATTTATACAGTATGTTCAGAAGACAATTGTCCAGGATGCTATAGAGCCACTTTTCTAAAAAAAAATTTTTTTCAGGAGTTATGGTGGGTGGAAGTGCAGATAATTGTTGTTCGACTTCTCGATTTTTTTAAAAATAACCCAGAGGAAAAAACGAAAAAGTGGCTCTATAGCACCCTGTGGAGTCTGGTTTTTAGTGCACTGTGAAAATTGCATTGAAAAATATTCAAAAATGAAGCGTCAATTTTGAAGCGCGAAAACCTCTGCAAATAGGCTTTTACACGAATTTTATCCACTATCTCGTGCTGCCAGTCGAAGCAACGCGGCGGTGTGTACGGACTAAGAAAGGACGTATTCAGATAATTTGTTGTCCCAAGTTAAACAGTAGCAGTTTTACGTCGGTCGTTCGAGATAAACATCGGACCAGTAAGTGATATTTTTAATAGACTTCAATGAAAGAGGGGAAATTTTTAATCGATTTTGATCATTTCTTTTTATACAATAGGCCATGCTTCAGAGGTGATACCACAAAAAATCATTTTTGTTCAATCACCCCAATATGGATATCAAATGGAAGCACTTGTACAAAACAGTAATACGAAAACAGTTTCAAATCAAGATGGCGGCCGTTACAAAATGGCGGATAACATACTTGCTAATATCTCAAATAAGTGTCGTCGCCTTGTAGAATACAGTACTTCACTAAAAATTTGATTCCAAGATTGCCGCCATTTCGAAATTGTGAGTTACATATTTTTGTACAAAACCCCCAATTTACATATCAAATGAAAAGACTTGACATGTGTGGTAAAATACAGAACTTTGTGACCAAAACTTTCCAGGTGGTTCCAGGGTCATTGGAGGCGGTAATCTTTTTAGTTAAAAATAATAATTATAGTGAACGCATTTAACACAAATAAAATGTCACTTGCTGTTTAGCTTTAACCTTATGGAGTATCGTAAAATAAACCTAACACGATAAGCGTCATGAGATATAATGCGTGTGTCGCACCTCATTTGGCGCTTTGGGCCTCGTGACACACATGATATGTCTCACTGCTGGCAGTTATATTTGGCCGCGTAACGTAAGACGTGTGCCATGCTGATGTGATTTTCTTACGGGAACCAAGTGTCCGTGGCCTGAGGGACCAAATTATACTGAAGTGGAAATGAAAACATTAAAAAACACGTTGTCTATAGAGTTTTACAAAAAGAGGATATTCTACAAATCTAAAACAAAAAGCAAATCTTATAAAATAATCAGACATTCTCATTCAAAAATGAACAAAGTAATTTCACAGCCAATCAGTAAGTTATGGTAAATGTCGATATTCTAACGAACACAAATATGGAGGAACTCTTATAACCTAAACAGATTGACAAAGTCTTATGCAGGAATAAACAAAATACCGGTATAAATAAACAGTAATACAGATAAATATGGAATTACTACAACTACTATTTGATTCACTACCACTTGGAGAATACGCATCAGATAAGTATACATCCCCACATAACTCAGTACTGCCACTCTCTTCATCCGATAGTATTTCATTACACAATTGTTCAAGCCTTTTTTGCTCCGCTTCGTAATGCGACATCACAAATTTGGTATTCAATAATTTATAAACAGTAAAGCAATTTGGACAAGATGACGTACAATACCAACAACGCTTCAATAATAAATGACACGAAACAGTGCTCAACGCGCGACATGATGCAAGTCTTGACTTGCAAAAAACGCGACGCGACTTATGTGCCACGCAACCTGACTGGTCTGTGGGCCACGCGACATACAACTAGTACCTCAGAAAAAAACCAAAAAAGGGAAAAAATCATAGGATTTGAGAAAAAAGTCAAGTCAAAATATTAAACCGAAACTTAAAACAAACTAATTTGACAATAATAACAGTTTGGCCCAGTGGACTGGATTTTCAGATTCTACTGTGGCGCTTAACGTGTCAATGTGACATTTCAATATTCGCCATCTAACAGACTAGATAAAGCTAGCCGATGCTACGTGCTATTGAGCCTGACGATTGACTTTCAATTAAATAAACAATATATACATAATATACAATAAATAGTGAACATCTGGTACTAGTACCAAAATGGAAGAGATTAGCATAACATCTCGCACATCGCTGTTAAAGCGAGATCTGCACACCGCATTTGCCCACACGAAGGGGTTAGTAACGGCGTACAATGTAATATGCTAATCTCTTCCATTTTAGTACCCGAGTACAGCAAAAATAGCCAATTCTCAAGAACTCTTTTTCTTGTTCAAACGGTTCTCTTGTGCCTTCAAGATCACATCGGGATCGCGGATTGGTATATTTCTGCTTTTCCTGGGATCGACCAGTTCTGGGAGCAAGCAGTTCATGTAGAAGAATTTCAATTTCTCTTCCATTTCATTTTTCCAGAAAACGTCATCCTTTTGAATGACGTCTATTTTCAAACCATACGGGATCCAAACACCAAGCACACAGTACTCTCTTTGTGCAACGTGTAGCTGCCCTTGAATTTGGTAATACCACTTATGTTTTTTATTTATTTCATCGTTTATCCAAAACGTAATTTTTTTGTTCAGAATGCCCTCTTCAGGGGCCATTTCTCTAGCCGACCATGGACATTTAATTTCTAGCAGACCTTTTTCGCCTATCAAACCATCTGGCGATGCTGCCAGAAATGGATGGGTCCTATAAATAAACAACCCGCAAGATTGTACTTCTGATTGCGAATATGATTTCTCTATTTCTGCTTTTGCCACGCTTTCATGCTTTTTCCATAGTCGCATGCATTGCTAAAGAATTCGGTTGGGTATATTATGGCGTTTACTAGAGCTCTGCAACTTGTTGTATCTCTTCTTCTACAAACCTCACCAAACCGAGACGCAGTCAACCTCATTCTTCGATGAAGACGCCACAAATTGCAATCCTGAGATTTTGAGGCTTGCTCGATCTGGGAAATTTTGGAGTCAGTTTTTGCAAGTTTTTTCAAAAATTCTACCTTGGCAGCCTCTATATCTTCGTTGCTCATGTCAGGCTTCTCACAGAATTCCCCATAGGATGCGTTCTCTTTAGTATCACTATCTCTGATTTTAATTTTCCTTGGTTTCAGCTTCCTTTTCAGATTTTTGTGCGCTCTCGTTTCTTCAACTTTAGCAATCAAAGAGGTTGGACTGAAACTAGGGAGTAGCCGCTTTTGGATCACACAAACAGGCCGCTGTGTATTGTGGCTCACTACGGCTGCAGCACATCTTCCTTGGTAGGATCTCTTCTTGCAATAATTAATCCGTTTACCCCCAATGAATTTAGCTATGATTGAGTTAAACTGCTCTACAATACTATTATCGACGTCATTTTTAATCAGAATTGTCAGAAATGATATCAGCCTCTGGTGCAAATCTAAAAAAAAAGGGTATATACACATGAATTTGAAGATCCGTGCCATCTGTCTCTGTTAGAGAATGCATATGCGAAACCTTGCTGTCATTTTTAAGCTAAAATAACATATAAAATATAGTTATAATAGTAACTACGTATAGTCTAATTTATTGGCAAAATGAATGCTAAAATTCATAATTGTTTTGGTACCTACCTTTCTATCTGGAAAACGTTTTTTTTTCCTGTGCGTATTTAAAGGCGGCTTCTTCGAGACGCCACGTTTATTTCTCTTATTGTTCATTTTTGATACCTTGATAAGAAAGACACTCAACAATAACAACACAACAATAACAACACAACAATAACAAAACGATAATACAACAATACAATAACGGTAATAAGAGTAATAAGGGCTGAGTATACTATGCGCCAAAATAGGGAAACAGTCGTACGCTAGATCGTATATCCAAATCAAATCCGACTCTGTGCAATATGCAAATTCAACCAGGCACGCGAACAGCACACCTCTGCGTATTACTATCCTTTTCTAACGTAGAGCGCTTGCCTTGTCACAACGCCGTCCTACTAGCGTTTCCCTATCACCCCCCCGATACCCCTCAGAAACTTTGCTTGACTGTGGGAGCGCCGTTAAGGGAAATATGCATTCCGCACCAAAACGGAAATTTGAAAAAAACAGCTCCGCATCAAAATGAAGTCCGATTACGGTCTCGGGAGACCGATATAGCAGTCAACGTGTTAAGGAGTTTGTTGAAATCTACACCTAATTGACAACCGATATTTATTTTTTTTTCAATTTTTTTTTGAATTTGGTTCTGTTATCTACAAGGTGGGCATATGATACTTGCTTCTGATTGGCCAATTTCCCATGCATATTTTCGAAAACGTTTCCTAATTTA